CTATTCGGCCATCTTGCTCCGCCCCCCCAATAAATACTTTTTAAAGCAAGACAAGAGACAGACTACCATCGACAATTAAAAACATGCCTGATTTCTCAGTAGCAATAATTTAAAAAGGGAAAACAGTGAGTTCTCCTCCTTAGAAAGCTGAGAAAAAATTAAATTCTCATAAAATGAATATTTTATGCTGATTTAATATCATTTAGGAATGGAATTTTAAAAAGACATTCTCACAAATATAAATGGGTTGCATTTACTATCAATAGATCCACACTGCAGGAATTTTTAATTAATACTCTTTATCAAGAAGGACATTGATTCAGTAAAGAAAAACTGAGATGAAAGAAAAGTGAGCAAATAAAGTGATAAATAGTAGATAAAGCATTGATTACATGAATCAACAATGGTAATGATAATTAATTTGGGAAGGGGAAAACATGTAGAGACTTAAATACTCGATGAAAATAACATGCAAATTGGAGTGATAATGATTGGTATTAATAGTTCTAAGGCATTTTATTTGAGGAGAGTCTGGTAAAGTATTTTATTTAGACATTATTATGTCAAGCAGGCATGTTTAAAAAATTAAAATAGTTCCTTAAAGAATAGAAAAAGAATATACAATATCCATGCAAGTAGAGGGGATTGGGGATAAGAAAACCTCAATCAATAAAAATGGGAATAGAAGAGGAAAAAGAGAATGAAGCATATAAAAACATGTTAAGTAGAGAATAGAACAAAAGAAAGAAAGAAATACTAGTGCCCAGACCACTAAAAACTCAGGTTTCTAAGAATGAAAGTTTGGGTCACCCAAGCAGATTAAAAAAAACTCCAACCAACTGAAATGCTAAGGTTAGGACAAAGAGAACATAGAACTGGTAGTAGAAGATGGAAGTTGCAAATTTCATCTATGGTCTAATGGCCAATTGCAGAAAAAAGCACTGTGCATCTAAACATATGTTACTCCTTGCTTGTTTTAATAAACTATGTATTAATAAAAAAATTCCTTATCCTTTTATCTATTATTTTATATGAGCAATGTTGGGGGCGTTAACTTTAAATTTGTGTTGTAGCAGTGGTAGTATGCCCAGGAGTGCAACAGCAGTTTTAGATTTGTGGGTTTGATCCCAGGAACATTAACACCTTCCTTATATTTCTGCATCATCTCTTCATTTTTGTTCCTGCAGAAAACGCTTTCATTATTTCTCCTCCTGCTATTTCAAGAGTTTTGTACTAAATTTCCTGAAGTAAATGACTTTTGTGTGAAATACTTGGCATGGTTTCTGTTTTCCTGGCCAGACCATAACTTAATATCCTACAGTATGTAGGAATTTAAGAGAAAAAGAAAAACAAAGCATGCATACCTTTACTTCATACTATATCATCCCCACAAAAATTCAATTGTTGTGGATCAAAGAACTGAATGCTAAAGCAAAACTTTTAACCTCGTTGAAAGAAAATGTTGGACAATATTTTCTGAACTTGAGGTAGCAGAGGAGTTCTTAAACAAAACAAAATACATTTCAAAAGGAAAGTGTTGATGAATGTTACTACATTAAGTTGAAAATGTATTCATTAAAAGACTACACGATATGCAAATAGAGAAGATAAACTGTAGACTGGCAGAAGAAAATGCAAATTAAAACCACAATAACATATTTTACCTCAGCCAAATGGCAAAAGTTAAAATCTGATAGTGCCAAGTGTTGGCATGAATATGAACCAATGGCAATTGACATATACTGCTTCTAAGAGTGACAAATATGAAAGTATAAGGTATAAAACCTTTAGTGAGAAATTTGGCAATATCTAATAAATTTGATAATGCACATATCTTTTAAGGATCTTACTGAGCAGGGATTTCTAATCGCTGAGTGTCAGCACACTGGGCACTGTGGTAGGTTCTACAGGTGTGTGGCAAAGTTGATTCCCCCAGCCCTTGGGGACCAGGGGCAGGAAGGGCCTCCTAGGCTAGCTATCTATGGGCAACGTTGTTCATTTATCCCAGTGTGCCATACAGATATTATAATTTTCTAAGTGTACTGTAACTTGAAAGAAGCTGGAAAACACTTTTCTAAGATACCAATTTCTTGTTTGTTTTAATTGTTTCAAATATCTTTTTTTTTTTTTTTGTCATTTCTCCGTTAACACCTGTTTTGTAGGTACTCTGAGAATATCTCCAATTTTTTCTACTTCACTTTCACAGTCCCTCTGTGAGACTTGTGGAGAATGGCTGTTGCCTCCCCATGAATGTGAAGCTAAACCCAGAGCCCTGGATGAGATAGTAAATGGTTGATAAGCTGGCCTTTCCAAAGTATTTAAAAAGCATTATATTTCTTAGTCTCTTTTCCTTCTTACCTAGTTTCAATGAAAACTCTGACAAATAATCCTTAGATCAAGGAATAAAATGTGTGGGTAACTTTAAAAGTGTACTTGCCTCCTGCCTCCACAAAATAACAGGGAAGCTCTGCGACCAGATAGCTCCAAATAAATCAGAGGAAATAATTTTTAAAAGAAAATTGGCTAATATGATCTACTGTACAATAGACAATTAAAGAAATCTGATGTCCTCTAATCTTGTAGTATTCAAGCTAGTGGCAATTTTCAGTACCTTCTTCCTCTCAAAACAAAACCCAAAACAAAAAGTACTGTTCATAGTGCCTCAATATTATTAAAGATTCTCCATTTAACTCGTAACCAGAGGTTTTCAAGGAGTTCATACATTAGCCAAATAGAAAAATAAAGCTCCATTCCTATCTCCTTCCAGAAAATAAAATTCCAGGTGTATTACTACAGAATGTGAAAAAAACCAAACATAAATTTGTGAAAATAAAACATGAAGAGAATTCTTGTGATCTTTGAATAAGTAAGACATTTTTAACTCAGATATAAAACACAGAAACCATTAAGGAATATAAATAACATACAGTTTAAAAAGAAAAGATTGAAAGATAAACAGAAAACTAGGGATAATTTTGTAACGTGTAATAATACAATGGGTTAATAATCTTATAAAACAAAAAATAACTTTTATCAATTACTAAAAGATAAACATTCCTATGGAAAGAGGTTATAAGCAAATTACTAAAAATACATATATTTAATAAATATATGAAAAAATATTTAATGTCACTAATAATAAAAAAAGATACCTGCATTAGTAATGTTTCATTAAGTTGACAGTAACTTTGAGAAAAATTCCAGTTTGAGGGCTGACACTTCTGACACCTGCCATGTAAAGTTATGTACTTTTTTTTAAGACAGAGGTTACTAATAAATTGTACCCTTTGATCTTAAACCCACGTATCAGTGTCACAAGAGGAAAGACATGGCACACTCAAATAAGGACACTGTAGGTGAGTTTAATAAAGAAGCTGGTTATCAAAGATATCTGCAGTTTCACGTTTATTGCAACACTATTTAAAATAGCAAAGATTTGGAAGTGTCCATCAACAGATGAATGGATAAAGAAACTATGGTAAATATACATAATAGAGTACTATTCAGTCATAGAAAAGAACGAAATCCTGTCATATGCAACAACATGGATAGAACCAGAGGACATTACGTTAAGTGAAATAAGCCAGACACAGAAAGGCAAACTGCATGTTTTCACTTCTCTGGGGGAGCTAAAAATTAAAATAATTGAACTCATTGAGATAGAGAGTTTAAGAATGGTTAACAGGCTAGGAAGGGTGGTGAGGGGTTTGTGGGGAAGTGAGGGTGATTAATTGGTACAAAAAAAATAGAAAGAATGTTTAAGAACTAATATTTGATAGCATGATAAAATGATAATAGTCAATAACAATTTAATTATACATTAAAATATCTTAAAGAGTATTATTGGATTGTTTGTAACACATAGGATAAATGCTTGAGGTGAAGGATACCCATTTACCCTGATGTGAGTAACACATTGCATGCTTATATGGAAATATCTCAATTACCCCATAAATATATATATGCCTATTATATACCCACAAAAATTAAAAATAAAAAAAAAGCTGGTTACCAATGTATGAGCAGAGTTTAGGTAACCAGTAAAAGATGGTGCACACTTCCAGAGCTAAGGACAATGTGGAGCCAATACCACCCTCAGCCTGAAGACAAAAGGACCAGAGTAGTTACTAGAATCTCCAGACAGTTAGAGGAGAAGGTCACCTGATAGAACCTGTGGCTTTTAGCAGAGGAGAGCAGTCACTGTGAATGGAAACCAGCAGGGAGGTAGCTGGAGAAATAAATACCCTGTTCTCACACTACTACCACTCTCAAGGCTCCTGTGATTGCATTCCCATTGCATTAATTCACCTAGAAGCTAGAGCGTGGCCCATACAGATCATAGCCCTAGGTCGCAGAGAAGGGAGGGAACGTGGGGAATGAATATGAAGGAGTAGATGGGAAATATCCACTGTGAACTTGGCAAACCAAAGTCTGAGATTTTCCCAGAAAAACATGAAGAACATTTGCAAATCTTTGTTTAGGACTTACTCATTTTGGTATGTATTCTTTAACTATTTTGGAAGAAGTAGGAGCCATTTTTCCTAAACAAAGCAAAAGAAAATCCAATGAGATTTCTCCATGGAAAAAGGCTTAGTGGGATTTAACCATCAAAAGATATTGTAAACCAAACTAAACAAAACAAAAACCTTAATTCATCTACTTTAGAGGGTTTCCTATATGCTGGAGGAGTACACAGTATATTCTCCTAGTCACAAAGTGAGCAATAGCTCCTGAGACCAGCACAAGTTCTTTGGTTGAATTTCACCACCTTCAGGTGTAGAGCTGAAAACAAAAAGAGAAAGACCTAAATGTTACTTGGAAATTACATTTGATTGAGAATTGCATGCATTGAATTGCACATAGTTGTATGTCTTGGAATGTTTTTTCTCATTGAGATTAAAAGAATAAAAGCACAGACTAGCCCAGATTTGATAAACAATCAGGCACAGGACTTAATTGAGAATGGGAGAAATTTTTAAAAGGCTGAATTCATATCCTAGATGAGTCTGGACCTGGTTGTCAGCTCTGTCTGCACTTTGGCAAGAAGAAATGTGGGTCTCTTTAAATGTGACCAAAGAAGCATGATTTACCTTAAATTGGTGAGTGAATCTAAGCTTGTCATTTTCTCTCCTTAAGGCATTAACAGCACTTAACAACAGCTACCAAATACCACAAATTATATAGTTATTATTTACTCTGAAACTCATAAGCAACAGGAACATGACACAACCTAAGTCCATCTGTATCTCATCCAAGATCACTAGAGATGAAACTCTGAGCGTTTGTATTACTACAGCACATCAGGAATGATCAATACACGACTAACCACCAGCAATCAAGTCTCTGTTGCTATCTGGATAGTGAATGATTTAACTCCAGAGTCCCATTTGTAAAGATGACTTTCTAGAATCATCCCTGGCACCAACTGTCTTAGATTGGGTTTCCTAAAAGCAGAGTCAGAGACAGGGATTTATGTGCAAATGATTTAATGAGGAAGTTCTCTCAGGATAGTCCTTACATTAGTAAGGAAAGCAGAATAGGGCAGGGGATGAAGCATCTCCTGCAAACATGTAGCAGAAGTCTAGCCTCAGCCTGATCCCACTTTGGGATTTCAAACATTTTGGGTGAAAGGGCTCTTGAGTTCCTGTTGATCAGGTACATTTCTCAGGAAAATAGGGCAACTGTATGTGAGCTGTTAGCAGCCAATACTGATAACAACTGAGGGCTGGATGCTCTGGACTTCTAAAAGAGAGCTGGGCAGGGCACCAACAGTCTACTATAGGAGGAATGAGAAACTCTTTTCTGAAGAATTAGAAAAGAGTTTGTCATGAAGATGACAATTGTCTTGTAAGGAAGAGAAAAGAATAATTAGGCTGAGAACATAGTAGCCAAGGTAGTCAGTCAACAAGTTCACTGAGTTCAAATTTGGAGAGGATTTGGATTCAGAATCAAATACTCATCTACTAGGTGTTAATTTTTATTTAGTTTCTTTTCAGTTTTTCTTTCTGGATTATTTGAGTTAATAGCTTGCCAATTTATCCTGACGGTAATATCAGTGAATACAGCTACTTAATGAGGTATACTGGGGTTAGTTTACAACATTTATACCAATTAAAGTATTTAAATATCTCACTGGAGTAATAATAGATATCTTATAGAAAGACTGTATTTTTGGTAGGTTAAAAACCAACCATAAAAAACACTGTGTAAGACACATGCACACGTATGTTTATTGCAGCACTGTTCACATTAGCAAAGACTTGGAACCAATCGAAATGCCCATCAATGAAAGACTGGATGAAGAAAATGTGGCACATATACACCATGGAATACTATGTAGCCATAGAAAAGGATGAGCTCATGTCCTTTGCAAGGGCATGGATAAAGCTGGAAACCATCATTCTCAGCAAACTAACAGGAACAGAAAACCAAACACAGCATATTCTCATTCATAAGTGGAAGCTGAACAGTGAGAATACATGGACACAGGGAGGGGAACATCATGCACTGGGGCCTGTCAGGGGATCGGGGGAATAGGGAAGGGATAGCATGTAGATGATGGGTTGATGGGTGCAGCAAATCACCATGGTATGTGTATACCTATGTAACAAATCTGCATGTTCTGCACATGTATCCCAGAACTTTAAGTATAACAATAATGAAAAAACCTGTGTAAGCAAGGTAGTTTTGCTATGGGCTCCAAATTTCTGAAAGAATGTGGCATGTAAAGGTTTAAGTTTAAAATAATATAGGTAAAAAAAAGTGTCAAAGTGAGTTAGAGAAAGAGAAATTTGGATAATTTTAAATCAACTCAACTTATTATTTGTAGGGTATAAGGTATGAGAAAAATACAAAGTGACACGTGGCATAGTGTTCCATTTTGATATATCTATATTGAAGACTCATAATTTGAGTAAAAATGTTTTCTTTTCATATTGATATTCAGATAATCAGCATCACTCAGTGAGTCACAACCTACTAAAAAATGTTCAGTCACAACCTACTAAAAAATGTTCAGAGAAGGAAGGACTCAAGGCTAAGTATGTAAGAGTGAGTTTGGGTGAGTGTGCATATTTTTATGTGTGTGTGTGTGTGTGTGTGTGTGTGTAGGGGGGTGAGACTTTTTGTATCTCAGTGAATTCATTTCAAAACCAAATATAAATTATTTAAATTGTAAATTGTAAATGACTGTGTATCTCTGGTATAGTGTGTAGGTAATCAAGAATTGACACCACAATAAGGCCAGCGTTTGAAATTACAAGAGGAGCAAAGATTTTCTTTAGAATCTACCAACCAGGATCTAGTGTTGTGCAGCCAGGAGTCAGGGTTATTAAGTGAAATCAAAAGCGCATCAGGCCTAGGAGCATCTTAACAAGCATTAGTGTTTCATTTAAAGGGAGTGTCTTGTTTCTGAAATATTCATAGCTGGAATCCACCACCACTGCTGAGATTTACATCTCCCTTTCCCCATTATGCTCACTGAATCTCTTTACTTGCTATTGTAGGAAAAATATTCAAAGATTTATAGGCAGCAAAGAGAAGGCAGCAAATTATGACATCCATTATTGGCATCTGCTCTTGTCTGTATCCCCAGGAAATGCAAATACAAATGACTTCCAATTTTCTACTACAACTGAGTTGCAAAGGGAACTGTTATATGCAGATGAGGCAACTTCTATTTGGACAGAGATAAAATGGAAGAAATTTCAGTCTACTACACTTGGCATACCATTTGCATAACTCTGAAAAAGCTGTCACAAAGGGATAATAAAAAATCATAAGACTCTTAAAGCACCACATACAATCCCTGTAGCTAGACTGCTTATTACAGAAAAGACACAGCTTTAGGTTGTATGGGCTGGTGGAAGATCCAAAAACAAAAGGGTGACTAAATATAGATGCTTCTATATTCACTGGTAAAAGTGATCCCTCTTCTCATGTTTGGCAAAAGGATTACACTAGGTTTGAAAATAACTTATAAGCTAGTATGCAGTAAAGACAGGCCCCACATCACCAATTTTTAAAAAATTCTTTTGGCATAAATTATTGCTTCTTTTGGAGGCATGACTAAGGCAATGTTTCCCATTATGTTGTAGGCTCTTTGGGGGCAAGAATCTTTGTATTCCCTGATGTCCTGTACCTTCAGTGTCGAAAATAGAATTTTGAACACAACAGATCTCAAAATAGAATGTTTAATGGTGAGAATTGAAGGAATCACAGTGGTAAAGTATTGCAACTTAGGTGATGTGGATTCTAATCTAGTGCCTCTTTCTCAATTTCTTTATTTCTTTGGGTCTTGGCTCCCACATCTGATAAAACTAGGTAATAATACCTGTCTTATTTTATTTGGGAATATTTAAATGAATTATCATGGCTAGTGTCCACTATAACATCTGCCAGAGTTTTGTCACTCAAGACATGGGTCTTTTTTTCCCTACGTCCCTACAACTCTCCCACATGTCTCAACTTGGAAAGCATAAAGGTCAGCAGTTGCTGACAATTTTAGGCCTTAGGCACATGCTCATGTCACCTGGCTCATGTCACCTGGCTCTTCACCCTCTGCCTGCACTGATCTTTAAGCCTCTACCAGCCTCAAAACTACTTCTCAATGTTTATTAAAACTTTAGCTTTTGACTTGCAATTTTCCTCTTGCCCAAGTCATGACACTATGATAACTTAAGTGTCCAGGTGAACTACATATGCAGCTGTTTTAATGATCGCCTATTCCCCTTGTTGGTGAGGTTGGGGGAGGATTCTCACTCTAGGAAATGAGGCTAGATAAACACATGACATCCCAAACTAAACAGGTGAGATGGACAGCAGTTTCCGTACTCATAGCTCAGGGGAGGAGGACACCCAGCACCCTGCCAGGCCACACGATGTTACATTTAGCAACAGAGTGAACCACTGAGGGCATTAGGAGGTAGACTTTGTAGTATCAAGAATATGAAGTGTCCTTTGGTTACCACAGGAGGATGTGATTGGCTGTTTGAATAACTGTGGGCTGGCAGGGAACTAAAGCCCACTACTCAATGATAAATAAGAACTGTGCCTATTTCCCATGAGGAGGGGGTTTTGGGTGGGGGATCTTTTCTATGAGAGCAGAGTGGGCAGGAGAGCCTGTGGTGAGGTCATTTGAGGCCCTCCTGATTTTGCCATGTCAAGGTCGCACATCATAGTGACCTTCAGTTTAGGCCTCATTCCACACCAACCATTTGTCTCACACTTCAATTCCTTTACCTCCTGAACTTTAAGGGTTTTCACTTCTGTTCTTCCTTCGTAAGGCTCACACTTCCAGTCTAATGCTCAGAATCATAATCTCCAATTTCATTCTTACTATCTTTCTCATCTTATCTTATTCCTTTAGCCCTTGAAAAAACCCAACTCTGAATCTATTGTACTTATTCCCATGCTGAGAACTGCTAGAGAAAACTGCACAGCCGATGATATTTGGGTTCTTTTATTTGTATACTCTTTAACTGCAAGGGGATTATTAATATGACATAGACTCTCACAACCAGTTCTCTAATTTGCAGAGCAACGACTCCAAATGTCACTGCTGTTCACAAGGCCCTACTCAAGCTTTCCCCATTCTTACCAGAACATCTAAAATGAGAATTTTATCTACATTGCCATTCTACCTTGATCCTTAGAAGAAGGGACATCTCTCTCACTTTCCATGACCAAATGTACACTTGTGCTATGAATCCATTCCTACCTCATCTCCTTGACGACCTCATTCAATTAATTTTCTCTTCTCTTCTTTATCCTCATCTCCCCCTCTCGGTTGCTCTTTTTCCTTATCATAGAAATATGCCCAAGTTTCTGAATCACCTGAGCTCAGGAGTTCAAGAACAGCCAGGACAACATGGGGAAGCCCCATCTCTACAAAAAAATACAAAAATTAGCCGGGCACAGTGGTGCACACCTGTAGTCCCGGCTACTCAGAAGACTGAGGCAGGAGAATCACTGGAGCCCAGGAGGCAGAGGTTATAATGAGCCAAGAGCTTGCCATTGCACTCCGGCCTGGGTGACAGAGCAAGACCCTGTCTCAAAAAAAACTCAAAAAAAAAAAAAAAAAAAAAAAAAAAAAAAAAAA